GTCGTCGTCGCTTTGCGCGTGCATGTGCGTGTTGTCGTGTGTGCGTTGCCGTGCCGTGTGCGCGTGTGCGCGTTTGTTGTGTGTGCCCGCGACCTGCTAGCTCCGGTCCTTCGTGATTTAACGTGTATAGTATATACAAGATTACAGTCAAATATGCAGCTACAGACAAGAGGAATCTCACCAAATGGGATTTACAGACAACGTCCGTTCTATAGTACAATTAGTCCAATTGTACGTTCTATAGATGGTTTCGCTGTGAACTAACCACCCAGAGAAACACTCTTTGATTACAAAGTGTCCTTTATAACAGAGCGTCTGTTACGTGCGAGCTGGGCTTCACCAATAAACCTGTCAACATCGCAGCGATCGATGTTACGACCCGCGCCCAGGGTTACGACTGCTACGAGTCTTATGACGATCAGCAAGCCGCGTACGCCGGCCGCGTGGCGCGCGCGTGGCACAACAAAAGAAGAGAAATATGCGACGACGTACGACAGAGTAAAAGTAATCACCTACGCAAGGCTGAAAGAAATGGAGTGACACAGCGGGACCTCTAACACCGGTGTCGCACAAGTTTTACAACCCAACCAGAGTTAAGACTGTGCGATATCGTTACCATTGTCAAGCCGAGCACGCCGCGTGCACGTGGCATCAGCGGTATGGCACAAGGCGACACTATGACATTTTAGTACCCATAGAAGGCTGCTCGACGAGGGCTTCGAGAAACTTCTATGCCTCCACCATATCTGCAAGGACTCCGGCTGCCGTTCTCACGCTAGAGAAGGAAGTTTCGCACCTTCAGTTGTCCATAAAATTCTGGAGAAGGACACAGGATTGCACCATCGCATGCAACAAGGGATTGAGGACACTTGGGCAATGCATTCCTCCAGTTGCATAAATACCGAACAGTTTCGACAGAAAGGCAGACACAGTTCCACGGTGCTAAACAGTTCTCGACGCTGCTAGCTACCAATACTGCGCACTCGCTCTTGCTGCTCGCTGCCACAGTTGCCGCCGGACTCCGCCGACTGACCGAGGACCTGCCTGCTGCTCTTAGGTCGTAAGATATCAACCATTTGTAACGCGTATTTGATTATTGGCCTGCGTAGCCACCTATGTATTGTATGTAATTGTCACTATGATATTCATTATTAAAGAATAGAGTAACCGTAGTAATTATGTGGTTATAGCATTATACTGTCTGTGGTTTAAGTGCAATAGCACACGTATCTGTTGTACACACTATACGATCACACGTGCCTGTTATACGTAACACACGAGCTTCTCTATAAAGAGAGACAGAGGGAGCGAGAGAAGGGAGTGAGAGAGAGTGAGAGAGAGAGAGAGAGAGAGAGAGAGAGAGAGAGAGAGAGAGAGAGAGAGAGAGAGAGAGAGGGGGAGAGAATGGGATGAGAAAGGGAGAGGGAGTAAGAGAGAAAGAGAGAAAGAGAGAGAGAGAGAAAGAGAGAGCGAGAGAGAGGCAGAAGTAGAGAGAAGTAGAGAGCGTATAATCAGTTGTTTACGTGAGATGATGTCAATGAAACTGTTTACTGAGATGCTTGCGTCGTTGTTGTTGTTTGGCGTATTATTTCAAATATATTAATGCCTCTGCGCACGCGCGCGCACACACGCACGCACACACACGCACGTACACACACGCATGCATGCACACATTTCTCCTTTAGTTTTTCGTAGTCCATGTTTTCTCTGTGTGCATGTTAACGTTTCGTCCGTGCATATGTGCGAGCATGCGTCCGTGCGCCTGTCTGTGCGTGTGTGTGCTCTTGCGCTGCGAACAACCATTGTCTGCGTGACGTCACCTCTCTAACTATCCTTTCATTGCAGATACCGCCGCCAGATGCCGCTGCACGTCCGCCTGAAGAGTCCCGCTCCAAACACGACCAAGTGTCGGTACTGCGACCTCGTCCCAGCGACGCGCGCCGAATACAACCGCCACCTGGCGACGGCGCACGACGTGCCGGCGCACGAGTGTCGCGACTGCCGACGTCGCTTCCGGTCGCAGTTCGCGCTCAGTAAGCACGCGTGCGACAGCGAGCCACCGCCGACGTCGTCGTCGGAGGAAAACAAGTGCTACCTGTGCGCGCAGGTGTTTGCTAGCGCCGCCGCCGTGCGCACGCATGTGTGCTCGCCGGAGCCGCGCCGCGGAACAGCGTCAGCGTCAGTACTAGTGGTGCTAACGCAGCAGTGCAACTTCTGCGAGGAGAGGTTTGCGTCGAAGTGGGCGTTGGCGACGCACAAGTGCCCGTACGACGACAGCCTCGAGTTGAATCGCTGCTACATCTGTCGCGATACGTTCGCGTCGGCCGCCGCCGTCGCCGCGCACGCGTGCGTCGGCCCCCGAAACAAGAGAGCATCGGCGGCGGCTGGCGCGTTGCCAGAGAAGCACGCGCGACGTCGCCCATCTGCCGCCGAGGGTCGCGCCGACGTCGCAGAGGGCGCCACCGCCGCGGTGACGTCGCCGACGGATTCCCAGGCGACGGAGGAAGCGAGCGACGACGACGATGACGATGACGATGATGACGATGCGGTTGCTATGGGCGACGACGACGAACGCGACGCCGAGGGTCGGTCGTTGCCTCTCGTCATCACGGGAATGCGTCAGGTGACGGAGGACAGCCTGTGGCAGTGCGGCCGCTGCGGTCTCATCATGACACCCGAGGGGCAGAAGCACCACGCGTGCAGCGACAGCGTCGGCATGGACGCCGACGCAAACTACCGCTGCCCGAAGTGCGCCGCCGCCTACACACGCCGTGACAACCGCAACCGGCACGTGTGGCGCAACCACCTGCAGGCCGCCTACTACTCGTGCGACGTCTGCTTCCGCTGCTGCGACTCGAAACCGGAACTAGAAGCACACATCGCCGACGCGCACGGCATCGGTGTGTCGCCGCTGCTCCCGCCGCCGCCACCGGCGGCTAGCGCCACGGGCGTCGCTTCCGGATCCGGCGCAACCCGGACGCAGATCGAGTGCGCCGTCTGCTACGCGACGTGTTCGTCGCAGCACGGGCTGGACGTGCACATGCGCAGACACAGTGGGGAGAAGCCGCACCGCTGCGCCATCTGCAGTTCCACCTTTACTTCCGGTCACAACCTGACGGTGCACATGCGCCTGCACACGGGCGAGCGACCGTTTACGTGCGAGCTGTGCGGGTTGACGTTCACGCATCGCCAGAGCCTCAAGCGGCACTACAATCGCCACAAGATGTCGTCGCAGTCGCACAACTGGCAGTGCGCGCTCTGTAAGCTGGAGTTTGTGAGTCCAGAGGCGCTAGCCACTCACACGCGCGAGAACCATGCCGATAGCTTCCTCAACAACAACAGCAACGCCAGCAACATCATCGTCAACAACAACAACAACAACAACAATGACGATAACAACAACGTTTACGACAATAACAACACGACGACGACCAACAACAACCACGACGACAACAACAACAGCAACGCCAGCGTCAACAACAACACCGCCACCGCCACCCACAGCAGCAACAACAACAACAACAACAACAACAACATGGATGCAGGTTTCCCCGTAGAGGAGGATGACGGAGGCGGCGGGGGCGTGACGAACACCCCGGGCACCGTCTACACCTGCAGCGTCTGTGGGATCAAGGTAACCACGCAGTCGGCGCTCAAGGTGCACATGCGCGTGCACAAGTTCAGTCGTCCGTTCGCATGCACCATCTGCGGATGCGCATTCGCCTGGAAGGGCTTCCTCGACCGACACATGGAGGTGCATCTCAACAGCAAAGTGACGAATACCAACGATCGGCAGATTCCGTCTGCCGACTGTCGGGAGGGGTTGCCGCATCGTTGCCGCGTCTGCCAGCGTCAGTTCCCGACCGTAGAGAAGATGATTCATCACATGACCGACCACGACGTCAACGACATCTACGACTCCTACATGCAGATGGATATCTTCCGCGAAGGAGGAGGCGGAGAAGAAGTGGGAAGAGGAGTGGGAAGAGGAGCGGGCGTTGCTACGGCGACCGGCGTCGGTAGAGCGGCCGGGGAGGACGCTACCGGGGAGGAGCGGGAGGGAGACGGGGAGGATGCGGAGGAGGCGGAGGATCGCGGCGGCGGCGGGGAATACCTCCCACATCGCAGCAGCAGCAGCAACCGCCTGCTGCAGTGCATGGAGTGCGGGGAGTACCTATCATCGAAACGTCGCCTCGTCGGCCACGCTAAGATGCACGAGGGGGCGCAGCTGTTCCCCTGCCGCGTCTGCGGAGCTAGCTACTCCCGCCTCGGCTATCTCACCAAACACATGATTGCGCACAGCAAGAAGGAGGGGCTCGTCTGCAAGGTGTGTGGCGACAGGTTCTCTGCCATCCCGCTGCTCAAATCGCACATGGACGCGCACCGCAGCGGCTGGAGCCTCGAGGGGGCGCTGCGAGCGATCCGCTCGCGACCCGGGAAATCGGGTGTCTCGGCGCCGCTCTCCCTCCAGGACGCGTCGCCAGGGGGAGCCGCCGCCGCGGGAGAGGAGGAGAGCGGGTGGAAGACGCCGCCGGGGGTGGAGGCGATCGCGTGTAAGGTGTGCGGGGAGGCATTCGGTGAGCAGGCGGCGCTGTACGCGCACGTCGGCGCGCGCCACCCGCGCGCCCCCTACCGCTTCAAGTGCGATCGCTGCCTCGTCGGCTTTCCGTCGCACGGCGACGCCGAGGCGCACGTCGCCGCCGCGCACGCCGACGACCGCACGGGGGCGCCACCGGCAGCCGGCGGCATCTCGCTCAAGTGGCAGGACGTCGCGGGAGGCGGCGGCTCTGGATCTCCGTCGCCGCAGCCACCGCCGTCGATGACGCGGCCAGAGTTTCGCTGCCGTGGCTGCGGCGAGGTGTTCTACTCGTACGCGCACGCGCTAGAACACAACCACGACGACACGCCCAACAAGGCCCCCACTACCACCCAAGCCACAGCCACCACCACCACCTCCCCTGCCACCTACACAGCCACCACCGCCTCTGCTGCTGCCGCCGCCACCACCCCTGCCACCGCCGCCGCCGCCGATGACGTCACGGTGTCGGCCGACGGCGCGACGTCGCCTACGGACGCGGCGAAGCTGTCGCCGACGGCAAGCGCGGTTGCAGGCTCGCCCGCGGCAGCTGCAGACGAGCTGCCGACAGCCGACGCAAACACGCATGCAAGCGTAGAGGTAGGAGCTGCTGCAGCGTCGGCGACGGCGGCAGCGGGACCGTCGACGGCCGTTACTCAGAAGGCGCGGAAGAGGATGCCGACGCCTCGTCCGACGCCTCGTCCGACGCCCGCGCCACCTGCCGTAGCGAAACCCGCGCCGCCCGCCGTAGCGAAACCCGAGCCGCCCGCCGTGCGTCCGACCACCGAGCAGGAGGATAAACCCGCCGCCACAGATGGCGCCACCGGCACAGATAAGGCGCCACCGAGCAGCGCCACCGAGAACGAATCGGTGACGTCGTCGACGGGTGCCGTGACGTCATTCGGAGGAGGAGGAGGCGGCGGGAGGAAGACGCGCGGAGCAGGGAAGGGGAGGAGCAATGCACTCGCACTTCTCAAGCCGACCTTCAGCTGCAATGCGTGCGCGTTGAACTTTGACTCGTACGACGAGGCCGTGGATCACGTGCAGGAGATTCACAGCAACGATGAGACTGAGTGAAGGGGAGAGATGGGAGGTGGAAGAAGGGAGAGGGGAGGAGTAGGGGAAGGAAAGGGAGAGAGGGTAGCGGGGAGAGGGGAGGAGAAGGGAGAGCGAGAGAGGAGGGAAAGGGGAGAGGGAGGGGAGAGGGGTAGGGAGGAAAAGGGGAAAAGGAAAGAGTGGAATGAGAAGAGGGAAGAGAGCGGGGAAGTTTGGTAGGGATAGAGAGAAGATAAATGTGTGTATTAAAAGAAGAGGGGAGATGAGAGTTATAAAGGGAGGTAGGGAAGGAGGTGGGGAGAGAGGCTAAACATGACAGACAAAGAAGAAGAAAGCGAAAAGCGAATTAGAGCTAAAAAGGAGAAGGCTAGAAAGAGAGGAGAGAGATAACGCGAGCGAATAAGATAGCAAAGTATCCCATCCGCCAAAAAAAGAATAATATCGGCTTGCGTTATTTATGTCTATTTGTTTCGATGTACGTTCGATTTTATTTGCTCATGACATGGCGGCGCGTAAAACAATATGGCGGGTCGGGTTAACTGTTCGTTATTGTTTGCATCGAATTATTTTGTTTGCCGATTTTATTCGTTGAGCGGTTAATATGACGGCCCTGAATGTTCGATTCATTCCTACAAATAGCCGAAGTTTGGCGGACTTACTTTAATGCTTTACGTTAGCTTACAGTAAAGTAGGGGAAAGTTACTTGAAGCTTGTTTTATCATCGCAGTAAAGCTGGATATGTATTCTTACTGTAGCAATGGCGCGGTTAAGTGCTGGCGATACATAGATTTGGAGGATGTAGAAAGACCACGACGCCTGGGACCAGGTGATATTTCATATTTTGGAAACGGATTTGTCGTACAGAATTAAATGTAATGTATATTTTTTTCCATGTGGGAAGTGTTTCGTATGTGATACGTATGATTTGTTTCTAGGAGTGTGTAGTTCCATGCCGAGCGTAAGTGAAACCCATCGTCTTCAAAACCTTGTGATTTGCATTGAGAACATAATATTTTTATCATTGCCCTGCAGTGCTTGTGATATTATTAGTTTTTGTTTCGAATGCCAGGTGGCGCTACCGAGCAATGTATTCGGTACTTCCATTCGATAATTGCCACAGTATAGAGGCAAGTTAAGAAGTATAAGGCATAATATAGAAATAAGTTAGAGACAGCATATAAGGCAAAAGTTTTTCTTGGAAATAATTGTATTTTCGTTAGTCTATATAAGTTGCATCTATTTTCATATATGTTGTACTATATGGTCGTTGCCCATTGATGTAATACCTGCTAAAATGATGCGAATGCTCATGAACCTATTCTTCCTGTTTATATATTTATACGACAGAACGACGTTTCTTTTTCTATAACTATTTCGCAGATGTGTGTGCCAGAATATATTTTGTGACCAAGAAAATTAATTAATAAAATTTCAATATAGCTACATATAGTCATCTTGTTTATCTGATTACGATTTTGATTATTGATTACGTCATCGATTACATTGGTGGCTGTTGACGTCATTGACCGTGTGATGCGTTGACTGGCGGTTTGGTCGTCCGGTCGGGGTGATGTCATACAATAATACAACAATACAACGCCCCAGGACCCAACTACAGGGATCAGCAATTACCCGCAACTAAATGCCTAATTGCTGCGCAGTTTCTTCATTAGCTCCATATCGCCTCCACTGTCGTCTGCCAGATGTGCCATTACAGTTGCTGCGGTTTCCGCGCACTAAAGTGTTATAGTTCCAGCGAGCTAAAGTATTATGGCGCTGCTGCTGATTTCATTGTGTGATGGCCGCGCGGAATGCGGGGATGAAAGGTGTTATGACACGGAGCAGGCTACGTATATATAAGGAGAGATAGGTCAGTCGAAGCAGCTGGCAGTANGGACGGAGCGGAACGGGCGCAGAGAGCCCGAGAGAGAGAGACCCGAAGAGAAGACGCACGAGAGACGAAGCAGAGAGAGAGAGAGAGCAGAGCAGAGACAAAGAGAGCAAAAGCGGACGAAGCGAGAGAGAGAGAGAGAAGTAAGCGCCCCAGCGCCGCGAGACGAGGGAAGAGGAGAGAGAGAGAGAGAGAGAGAGAACGAGAGAGAGAGAGAGAGCAGAGAGAGAGAGGAGAGAGAGAGAGGCAAGCGGACGAACGAGAGACGAAGCGAGGAGAGGAGGAGACCCAGCTAGAGCGAGCGAGAGAGGAAGACAGGAAAAACAGACAAGACAGCAGGGGACACAAGAGACAGACCGCCAGAGACAGACAGACGACCTCATAGCCACACGGACCACAGAAGTAACAAGAGAGATAGAGGAAGCGATTTGGAGCAAGGAAAAGAGCGACGACGAGAGAGGACGAGACAGACCAGAAGAGGAGCAACGCGGACGCAGCGGAGGCGAGAGAGAGAGAGAGAGCGCGCGAGAAAGAGAGAAAGAGAGCGGGAGAAAGAGAGAGAGAGAGAGGGAAAGTGGGAGACAGATAGATAGATAGATAAGTGAGAGAGAGAGAGAGAGAGAGAGAGAGAGAGAGAGAGAGAGAGAGAGAGAGAGAGAGAGAGAGAGAGAGAGAGAGAGAGAGAGAGAGAGAGTGAGAGAAAGAGAGAAAGAGCAAGCGGACGAGCGAGAGAGAGAGAGAGCGAGAGAGAAAGCGGACGAGCGAGAGAGAGGGGGGGAGAGAGAGACGAGCGAGAGAGAGAGAGAAGAGACGAGAGAGAGAGAGAGGAGAGGAGAGACGAGAAGAGAGAGAGAAATGCGGAAGAGAGAGAGAGACGAGAGAGAGAGAGAGAGAGAGAGAGAGAGAGAAAGAGGAGAGGGAGGGAGAGAGAGATCCATACTACTACTATATAGAGAAAGAGCAAGCAGAGAGAGCAAGCGGAGGAGCGAGAGAGAGGGGGAGGGAGAGAGAGAGAGACGGAGAGGGAGAGAGAGAGAGAGGAGAGAGACGAGAGAGAGAGAGAGAGAGAGAGAGAGAAAGAGAGAGCAAAGCGGAACGAGCGGAGAGCAACGAGTAACGCAGAGAGAGAGCAGAGACGAGAGAGGAGCGACGAGAGAGAGAGAGGCGAAGGAGAGAGAAAGAGGAAGAGGCAGGGAGAGAGCAGATATAATACAGTATACCCCGAGACGACCGAGAGACAGAGAGAAGCAAGCCGGAGAGAGGGCGAGCAGAAGAGAGAGGCGAGAGATGAGTAAAGAAAGAGATAGAGAGAGAGAGAGAGAGAGAAGCAGAGAGCGAGAGAGAAGAGAGAGAGAGAGAAAGAGAGAGAGAGAGAGAGAGAGAGAGAGAGAGAGAGAGAGAGAGAGAGAGAGAGAGAGAGAGAGAGAGAGAGAGAGAGAGAGCAAGCGGACGAGCGAGAGAGCGAGCGAGAGGGAGAGACAGAAAAAAAGACAAACAGAGGGACAGAGAGACAGACGCAGAGAGACAGAGACCTATAGGCACGGACACAGAAGAAACAAGAGAGATAGAGAGAAGGATTGAGTAAGAAAGAGAGCGAGAGAGAGAGAGAGAGAGAGAGAGAGAGAGAGAGAGAGAGAGAGAGAGAGAAGGATTGAGAGAGAGAGAGAGAGAGAGAGAGAGAGAGAGAGAGACAGAGAGAGCAAGCGGACGAGCGAGATAGAGAGAGAGAGAGAGAGAGCGCGCGCGAGAGAGAGAGAGAAGGAGGAGAGAGAGAGAGAGGAGAGAGGAAGTAGAGAGCAGAATAGATAGAATAGATAAGTAGAGAGAGAGAGAGAGGACGATGAGAGAGGAGAGCAGAGAGAGAGAAGAGAGAGTGAGAGAGCGAGTGTGTTACTGTGCGCCTGAGAAATTCGTACTTGGCGCGATACCTAGAACAGCAACAGCGTTGCCTACCGCGCAGGTATGATATCTTGACATACCTCATCTAATATTTGATTCTATTAAGAGCGTAATTAAGATATGCATTCTATATAGCTTTCCTACAGTTGTTTAATCTTGTCTGCTTTTAACGCCCCCCCCCCACAAAAACATTCATAAATACCCAAGTCAGTGTGCGGAGCAATACTTCCTTAACCGCTGCGTCTCAAATCACACTAGGTAAGCAATATTGCCGTATATGAGTGCAGTGTACACACTGCCTTCTTTGTCTGTGGTTCTTAGACATATATTACACAAGCGGCGCATGATCGCGTGATGGCATGTTGTAGTGGTGTTCAAGCAGCCTCCTCTCTGTGTTGTTCAAACAATCGCCTATATTTTAGTGAAAAGGTGACCCCCGATTGGATTGGACTTTCTGTTTCATTTGACTTTGTTTCCAATGTGTATTGTCACACGACGGTATAACGCGTAGGCACTCACACACGGACAGACAGCACGCTCACACATACATCGCAGCCGAACAGACAGCACGCACACATACACGGCGAACCAGACAGACACGCACACAATACAGCGGCATCGGACAAGACAGCCAACTCACGCGACTACACCACACGGACAGACAGGCACGCACGCACGCACACATGCACGCATTCACGGCACGCCACATACTCACTCACGGACAGCACGCACGACGCCAACCACATACACCACGCCGCAGCACCGACAGCGGAGAGAGAACCAGAGAGATAGAGAAGAAACGACATATATTTTATATTCCTCTCGGTTTTTATCTATTGCTGTAGCCCTATACTTCTGCTCTGGGCACGGGCACAAAATCATGAACCAGTCAATTATTAGAGGCAATTGACGGTGGACTTAGATGGATCCGGCGACCGTTGAAGCTTACGTCCTCTGATTACGATTCGCATCGTAGAAATACAACTACATTCGTACTACTCGCACACGTAGCTCTGTCAAATACTAGTCAAGCAGCGCATTAACCCCCCCCTCCCGGCGTTAAAATGCCTCCCTTGATACTATCAAGGACTACATCAAACTAGACACTATAATATACATCTGATACTACTACTACTACTCAGCGGACGCAACCGATGATAGAGAGTTCACAATGCCGATGCCATGAATATGTGTTCCATCATCAATGTCTCGCATGTCCCCTTGTCTGCCTGGTTCCTTGCAACTGCAGTCAATGTAGTTCAAGTATGCTCGGCCGTCTTCCTCGCGTCCTGGTCTGCCAGCACCAAGATAAGCCGAATTATCATCTAGGTTATACCATAGCGTATGTATTAGCTCTTGCTACTGACTATCTCGGTGGACGCGTGGTATCTTGATCGATTGATGCTCGTAATGTACACGGCCATAACTGAACACTCTGTGGTGGCAAGGTTCTAAAGCTGTTGTACTTGCATAGATTTTTGCTTATAAAAAACTAAATATACGCCTGAATATAGTCTCACCTGACAGCCGGAATACACTGATACACCAACACTTAAATAATATAAATATGTTATGCAGTTATAGCAATAGAAAAGTGATATGAAACAGCCCCGCATCGGAACGGCAATGCATTTTATCGTGTCGCGATAATGCCTAATGGCAGAATTGTAAACTTTGTATTTGTGTTCGGTGATGTAATGAAAACAAGTGCATGATTTTGGAGATGCCTGCTAACTTTGTCTATGGCAGATAATGCGCGTTCCCTAAGCGCCCACTAGCTCGAATCATACTTCCCAGCTAGTTTCAAGATGACAACAAACGAATTGTTTACCGAACATTGTTCAAAACTGGCATTTTTTTGCTGGTGGAATACCGAAGGCTCTAAAGACCAGTCTTTAAGTTGCTTACTCCGTAGACAATTGCATGTTACTCAAGCAATAACGTAGTGAGCTCCAAGAAACGGTACTCGCTAGGCTTAGGAATTACCGTTTTCAATACCGTCGGCTGCAGCTAACACGTAGTGCCCTTATTATTCCAAGTATCGGCCACAGAACACCACACATGTGATTATACACAAACTGAATCCAGTAACGTCACCTTCTTGTAACCATCAGGCGTACGATGCGCTTGAGGTACCTTACGGGGGTTACAGCAACGTTTTGAGACAATGCAACCCAAAATTTATGCAATTTGCCACCATGTTTGCTATCATCTCCGACCTGTGGACACAAAATCCCGGATATGGGATCGAACAAGGAAATTTAAACGATCTGCGGTCGTCATGTAAACCACCCCTACATCCGCCAGAACATGTCATCTAAGGTTTTTTACAAAATGGCCCACACATTTCTGACATTCGTTTCAGCTTGCTTTGGTGTGTAATTGCCTGAGAGCCAGTCGTACTATTTCTGTAGTGATTTTCTAGCGAGTCTGCTATTCCGTTCCACATACTCTAGATTGACTTTACACACTATGTACCCTGACTGGAGTCATTACGAAATAACGCATTAGTGATTGGACAGAAACTACGTGTGAATGCGCATGTGGATCTTCAGGTAGGACGAGTAGCTGAACAAGGCGAAGCACTCCTCGCAGCGATATGGCTTTTCGCCCGTGTGCTTGTACATGTGCGTCTTCAGGTGGTAAGTCTGCGTGAACGCCGCCGCGCACTCGCTGCACTTGTACGGCTTCTCTCCCGTGTGCGTGCGCATGTGCTTCACGAGCGTGTAGCTGCGCGGGAAGGACAGCCCGCACACCTCGCACGCAAACGGCTTCTCCCCTGTATGGATCAGTCGGTGTCGCTTCAGGTCACCCTTCTGGGAGAACGACGCCAAGCAGTCGCCGCACGCGTACGGTTTCTCGCCCGAGTGCGTACGCCAGTGTGTCTGCAGGCTGTACTTCTGCGCGAAGGCGGCGTTGCAGGCGTCGCACTTGTAGGGACGCGCGAGCGGCGTTGGGCTGTGCGTGCGCATGTGCTGCCGCATGTTGTACTTGCGGGCGAACGCGGCGTCGCACACGCGGCTCAAGTGTGGACAATCGCGCGTGTGCGTGCGCAGGTGCTCCTTGAGGTTGCCGCGTCGCAGGAAGGTCACCGAGCAGGTCGGGCAGCGGTGCGCGCGCAAGCCCGTGTAGGGTTTCTCGCTGCGGTGCTTCGTGTCCATGTGACCCTTCAGTTGGCGCTTGAGCTCGAAAGCCGCCGAGCACGCGACGCACTTGTAGCGTGGCTCCGTCGTCCCGCCTCCGTCCGTCGCCGGCGCTGCCACCGCGCACGCTCGCTTGTTTCGCCGCGTCAGCCTCCCCGCTGCGTCGTTGGTCGCAGGAGCTTTGACGCCCGGAGCGACGGACCCCTCGGTATTGTTCGTCGAGTCTCCGTTGAAGAGCTGGTTGGTGGTAGCGCGTGTCATCTGCCGCGTGGTGGCGCCGGTGTCGGGCAGCATCTAGCAGCGACAAGTTACGGTTTAGTACTGTTACACTGGGTTTACACTGCCAACTTTATGTTGGCGAATTGGACCAATTTTGCAATTCGGCAACTCCGAGTTGGCGAAAATATAACATGTTCTAATCTCCCAATTAGTTGCTATCGACCAGTTGCTCGCGCAACTTTCGCGTTTACACTGCCGATTGTCGGTTGTATAGTTGTGAAGTTGGTCCAGTTCGCTTCAATGGTCGATAGTTTTCTAATTTAACCCTAACTTACCCCTGACAGCTAAAATATCAAACACAATCATTTATTTCTTACATATGGTTTATAAATACATACAGACTACGTTTTTAATTCACTCGTAACATACACAAACTTACAGAACTCTCAGAATCAGCTGCTGCCGGTGCTGGTACAGATTCTGCTGCTGCTGCTGCTGCTGTACGGGCCGATCGCTTCACATGTACTGCTTGTCCGTCGCTGCCGCCGCGGCTCCGTGAACGCGCAGGTGCTGCGCCAGGTGGTCTCGCTCGACGTACGCCGCTGCGCACAGGTGACACTTGTATGGCTTCTCGGCGACGGGATGCTGCGCGGCGAGGTAGTCCAGCGCGGGAAATGCGGCCGGGAACGCAGGCGGGGTAGCGGTAGCGGTCCTCGGCGTGCGTGCGGAGGTGCTGAGCGAGGTGGTCTCGCTCGGTGAACGCCGCGGGACACGCGCCGAACTTGTGAGCGTACGGCTTGTCCCCGCGCGCCGGCGCCGGGAGAGGGGGAGCCGGTGTTGGGGCTGTCGACGGGGGCGGAGGAGGGGGCGCCGGCGGGCGAGTCTTGTGCGAGCGCGCGTGCGCGGCGAGCTGCTCTCGCGAGGAGAAGCATGCGGGGGAGGCGGCGCAGCGGTAGGTCAGCTCCGTGGCGTGCACCACCGCCTGCTTGCTGAGTTCGCCCTTGCGCGAGAAAGCAGCCGCGCAGCGATCGCACTTATACGGCTTTTCGCCGAGGTGCGTGTGCATGTGCTTGCGCAGCGTGCTGGGGTCGGCGTACGCCGCCTTTCCCCGCGTGCCGGCGCCGGGAGAGGGGGAGCCGGTGGTGGTGCTGCCAGCGGGGGCAGAGGAAGGGGTGCCGGCGGGCGAGTCTTGTGCGCGCGCGCATGCGCGGCGAGCTGCTCTCGCGAGGAGAAGCATGCGAGGCAGGCGGCGCAGCGGTAGGTCAGCTCCGCGGCGTGCACCATCACGTGCTTGCTGAGGTCGCCCTTGCGCGAGAAAGCAGCCGCGCAATGATCGCACTTGTACGGCTTTTCGCCGAGGTGCGTGTGCATGTGCCTGCGCAGCGTGCTGGGGTCGGCGTACGCTGCCGCGCACACCTCGCACACGCACGGCTTCTCCCCCGTGTGAATGCGCATGTGGATCTTCAGGTGGGACGAGTAGCTGAACGAGGCGAAGCACTCCTTGCAGCGATAGGGCTTTTCGCCCGTGTGCTGGTACATGTGCGTCTTCAGGTGGCAGGTCTGCGTGAACGACGCCGCGCACTCGCTGCACTTGTACGGCTTCTCTCCCGTGTGCGTGCGCATGTGCTGCACGAGCGTGTAGCTGCGCGGGAACGACAGCCCGCACACCTCGCACGCGAACGGCTTCTCCCCCGTATGGATCAGTCGGTGTCGCTTCAGGTCACCCTTCTGGGAGAACGACGCCAAGCAGTCGCCGCACACGTACGGTTTCTCGCCCGAGTGCGTACTCCAGTGTGTCTGCAGGCGGTACTTCTGCGCGAAGGCGGCGTCGCAGGCGTCGCACTTGTAGGGGCGCGCGAGCGGCGTTGGGCTGTGCGTGCGCATGTGCTGCCGCATGTTGGACTTGCGGGCGAACGCGGCGTCGCACACGTGGCACACGTGCGGACGGTCGCGTGTGTGCGTGCGCAGGTGCTCCTTGAGGTTGCCGCGTCGCAGGAACGTCGCCGAGCAGGTCGGGCAGCGGTGCGTGCGCGAGCCCGTGTGCGTAGCGAGGTGCGCCCGCATCGTCTTCTGCTTCGGGAACGACATGTCGCCCACGCGGCAGTGGTAGGGTTTCTCTCCGCGATGCTTCGCGTCCATGTGACCCTTCAGTTGGCGCTTGAGCTCGAACGCCGCCGGGCACGCGACGCACTTGTAGCGCGGCTCCGTCGTCCCGCCTCTGTCCGTCCCCGGCGCTGCCGCCGCGCATGCTCGCTTGTTTCGCCGCGTCGGCCTCCCCTCTACGTCGTCGCTCGCAGGAGCTTCGACGCCCGGAGCGACGGACGCCTCGTTATTGTTCGTCGAGTCTCCGTTCAAGAGCTGGGTGGTGGTAGCGCCGGTGTCGGGCAGCATCTAGCGGCGGCAAGTTAGGGTTTAGTACTGTTACACTGGGTTTACACTGCCAACTTTATGTTGGCGAATTGGACCAATTTCGCAATTCGGCAACTCCAAGTTGGCGAAAATATAACATGTTCTAATCTCCTAACTAGTTGCTATCGACCAGTTGCTCGCGCAACTTTCGCGTTTACACTGCCGATTGTCGGTTGTATAGTTGTGAAGTTGGTCCAGTTCGCTTCAATGGTCGATAATTTCCTAATTTAACCCCAACTTACGCCTGACAGCTAAAATATCAAACACAATCATTTATTTCTTACATATGAGCTACGATGGTTTATAAATACATACAGACTACGTTTTTAATTCACTCGTAACATACACAAACTTACAGAACTCTCAGAATCAGCTGCTGCCGGTGCTGGTACTGATCCTGCTGCTGATTCTGCGGCGGCTGCTGCTGCTGTACGGACCGCTGTAGGTCTTGGCTGGGTTGCGCAAGGCTTTCGCTGCTTTGCAGTGGAAGAGGTCTCTCTCTCCTTCGCTGACAACTTCCCGTGAATCATCGCCATCACTGCCGACAGCTGAGTTATTGGAGGACCCTGGACAATACACAATAACATGATGCTCTCCTAAATATGTTACCCTTGCTGTCGTTGTCTCTCTCTCCCTTCCCCTTAAATATACGTATGTGTTTAATTACGGACTATTGGCGGGGTTTCAGAAACCCCATCACTCTTTTTTTACGATTATGACATGAAGTAACCGGTGCAACGGCTTGTTTCATTCCTCCTGACAGGCCTGTAACGGAGCTAAGAGGTATATATTATTACCATGATATTACCTATGATATCAGAAGTAGATAATAGGGAATTCCCTACGGATTTCCCTATTATCTACTTATGATAATATGCACATAATTATGCGCTGTGCTCTGCCACGTTTTCACGCACATTTGGGTTCAGTCGCGAAACTTATCACAGGCACTTGGAACGTCTCAATAAAAAAAGTTCGAGTTGGAACTCTCTTATTCATGTTGTTTGTGCACACAGCACAGCGCGGTCGGGCGTTCGGTATACTTGTGTGTTGCAGATTGGTGATTATAGGCGAAATAGAGCAGAGAAACATTAAGACTTTGGTACATTTCGTGTTTATTTACCTTTTTTTTTTAGACGTTCCAAGTGCCTGTGAAACTTATATTAGCCACTAACTACGCAGGCAGCACATACAACTGCCACACAAAGGCTCGCCACGGGAGTGTTAATGGTCGAATCATTATTCGAGATGTATGCGTGTGGTGGGGGAAGCGATCAGTATGCATGTACGCAAACCGTGAGAGTTTCCATCTTACTCCTCTAGTTTCACGAACAGTGTCACTAGTAGACACACCAGTAGCAGAGCTCATAGGGTCTATGTCCCCCTGGTACTGCCGGAACGTACCCTGGGTACGGTCTGGTATACCGGAACGTACCCTGGTCACTATTTTATATGGTTAGGGTTAGGATTAGGATTAGGGTTAGGGTTAGGGTTAGAGTTAGGGTTAGGGAGTAGGCGTAGGCGACTCCCTAGACTCGTTAGTGGAGTAGGCGAGGTACAGTCCGGCATATTATATAGTACCAGGCAGGGTTCTCCCTACGTTGCGCAAACGGGGCGCGCGCGCCCCGTTTGGGAAAACTCCCCCCTGTTTGAATCGTTGCGCCCCGTTTAAATTACCTCCGCCCGATTAAATTCCACCACAATTAAAGTTTGCCAGCGCAGGAATCGATTGCCAAGAATTGCCGTTCGACCAGGACATCCGACGCGTGTATTTTTACCGTACCACGCATGCACTGCAGACAGTACACAAGTTAACCTGACAACACACAGTTAACCTGTGCCGAACCGGTAACAGTTAACCTGTCACTAACTGTACACCGACTCGGCTATCTTATATATACAAGAACCCCAAATACCGTCTATGGTGTGGTGGCGATTTTACGCATTAATTAGTGGTATGGTAAAAATACACGCCCCCGGACCCCCCTAGTTTCCCCCCTCCCCCCTTCCCCCTAGTTTCCCCCCCTCCCCCCTCCCCCCTCCCCCCCTACCCCTCCCCTCCCCCCCTGTTTGAATTTCATCCTGGGGAGAACCCTGCCAGGGTACGTTCCGGTATACCGGACCGTACCCAGGGTACGTTCTGGCAGTACCCCGGGGGACATAGACCCTCTCAACAGTAGTAGAGTTCAACACAAAGTAGTACCATACAGCACGACACGTTTCTGACGAATGTTACACATACACAACATCAATCACACCCCTACGCAGTCGTACTACTACGGTTACTTGATCCACGAACCGCCTGTTTTACGAGCGAGCGATTGACCCATTGTTCGCTGCACTGCACTGTAGGCCTACTAGTACTACGCCTGTAGGTACCGTAGCGCACCGCCTCAACATTTACAACGTATTAATTTTTCGCAGTGGCTACAGGTACGGTAGCCGTCGTTCGTTGAAGCCCCTTTTTGGCGTTAGGGTTAGGATTAGGGTTAGGATTAGGGTTAGGGTTAGGTTTAGGGTTAGGGTTAGGGTTAGGTTTAGGGTTAGGGTTAGGGTTCTAGCTCATCTAAACTCTGAAATCGTGAATTTATTTCCCAAGGCGTTACTTCGAAATCTCGCGCCACCGCCGCCATCTTTGTCTCGTTAAGTATGAAAGCGAATGGACTCCCGTACCCGTAGCCTCGAGACATTAAGATACGGCTACCGTACCCGTAGCCACTGCCTTAATTTTTTCCAAACATACATACCCGCACGAAAAAGACGAGATGATTCATTACCAACAAGACAAATCGCGCTGGATAACGTATCCAACTACTCGCTATTATGTATTCTGCAAGCAAGTGGCGACGCAGCGAAAATCGCGCCTGCATTGATAGTCAGCAGCGGACAAACGAGAGACGTTAGCAGCAGCGGCAGCAGCAGCAGCAGCAGCAGCAGCAGCAGCGGCCACAGGCACTTGAAACGTTTCTTGTCATTAGAATTCTTGTGATAGGATTAGATTTTATTTTATGTAGCATTATTTTTATTT